GCTGGGCACCGGCCGCACGCGCCGCCAACGGCCGCGGCCAACGGCCAACAACGGCCGCCGCGGGAGCCCAACGGCCGCTCCCGCCCGCTCAGCGGCCACTCCCGCGCGCCCGGCGCGGCCGTAGCTCTCCGTAGCAGCCCGCTGTTTGCCCACTGCCTCCTCAGCGCCGAGAAAGCCCCTTTTGTTGCTGTTTGTCTGCTTTTTAAATGGGGATATTGCTATCCATAGCCACTCTGTCCTTGTTTTCCCRTCTGAAATGCTTCCCTAAGGGAAATGCTGCAATATGAGATATTAAAATAATTGGGGGGGTAGGTTCCCATTATTTTTCCTTCTCTATTTTTTTTTTTTCTTTAGTGGTGCCATGAATATTWGTGGCAATTAGGAACAGAGCTTGCCCAGAGCAGCAGCCAGTTTTGTTTAACATTGGGAGCGGCTGGCAGCTGWGCTGGCCCACGGGGTGGCCGGGTGGGCACAGCTTTGAGGACAAGGCCAGCACCGCGTGCCAGGATGGGCTGTAAAGCACCTCGAGCCAGGGTGTCCATTTGTGCAGCTCCACGGGCATCACAAGTTGTGCTCGACGGTCGTGATTTACCGCCATTTTGGGCAGGACCCTAAAGATAAAATTGCTGAATTAAAAGGTTTTCTAACTATCTGGGGTTTCCTAAATTATAATGTTAATGCGGTGTGAACTACAGCTCTGTGGTTCAGAGGAAACCATTTTGTGCCTCTGTGAGTCCCATTAGAATGAATCTCCCAAGTAACTGAAGCAAAAGCAGCGTTTTATAGCATGAGTTGAGAAAGGTGATGGGCCAAGGAGGCCACAGGATTYCACAGTTCCCGGTCTACTGACGTTTGAAGAGGGTCATACACAATAACAGATAACTCTGAAATAAGTAATAGTAGTAACACAAGACCTCCATGAAATAGTCAAAGTCTCTTGTCTCCACACACCCATAAAAGGAGAAATAGCATTCAAAGTTTGTATATTGGAAAGGAAATGATACTCAGAGAGATTAGCTTAAAGTGTCTGTGGTAGGACTGCTCTGAAACGGCTTTGCAGTCACCTGCAAGGCCATCTTTGCCTTTATGGAAGCGATTTGCTGCCACTTTTTCAATGCTCTTATTTCAGTTCATCATCAACGATGCTTTGATACTGCCCAGCTAACCATCATCATCATCACCTGCTTTCCTCTACCTCACTCTTGTTTAACTTGATTGTTCTTGATCCCCCCTAGGCACCTGAGGAAGAAGATGATGATGAAAACATAACTGTTTGGAAGGAGTCCGGGAGGATGCTCTCCCTAAAAGATTTGCAGCCGGCATCCAGCCTCAGAGTCGAAGTCGCTGAGGTGTTTCAGTGCAGATGGCTGCTCCAGGAGCAACCAAAGGCATCAGGCCTTGCAAGACTCAGTCTCTTGTAAAGAGATCTACTGATCAACATTTCAGACCTGCACTCAGTCATCTCTTAAATTTTGTATTTAAAAGAAATGAGTGTCCAAGCTGCCAAAAAACACCGTCTGCCAAAAAGCATCCAGTGGCAGTCCCATGTTGCTGTTCCTGTCCCTCCAGTGAATACAGTGATTAACTGTGAGTTCCCACAGTGAATACACACCATATTCGCAGTGTGTATTTCCTAAGTCCTCAGAGGCCCCGTTCCTTGCATTTTATTAATCCTCATAGGAAAAACTCCTCTCTCAGTTGAATCCTTGTCTCGCTTTAGAGGAGTGCGTCCTCAGCGCATAGCAGGATGTGATACTCAGGTCTTTGCTGCATTTCCCTGTCWTCCCTCTGTCCTGCAAAAAGGGAAAAGTCCCAGTTATCTGCAGTATCTGGGAGACAAAGGCATAATTTTGTAAATTTACCTGATTTCTGTGCCGTGTAGATAATTTGGGGTTTAAATTGGCCATAAACATTTGCACTAGTTAGAAATTGGCATAGAAGCCCTTAATCCAAAGCAGTGTGATATCTACTCACTGCTGGAATAAACGAGTTCAGTTGTCATGAAATGATGCTAWTGTTTTTAGCTTACAAAATACCACATCTTCTACTTAGGGCCATGTTGGTGGGAAAATTTTTCACATGAGTATAGTAGAGTAACTATTCTATCTTGGCTCCTATAGTATAACTCTCTATGTGGACAGTTTATTTCAAAACAGGAATTAGAAGCAGAATAAAACCAACCAAATCTATCTGGATACTTTTCTCCTTTTCTCACTGTTTTAAAAAGTTCTTTTTTTTTACTTCAGATTCTTCTCTTTTTTTTTTCTCTCCAGAATAAAGGAATAACCTTTCTATGGCTTGCTATGACTGAACCTATCCTGTAGTATAAAATGCATGATGTTCAGTATCTTGACATTGTAGTACATCTTYGTTTTGCAGACTTTAGCCAGGCTATGAAATCATTTCTCCTTCTTTCATTCTCACAAGAAGAACCTCAAGCTTTTGTCATTTTTTTTCTTTTGTTTGTTTGTTTTTGTCTTCCTCTGTCTAGACGGGCTCTTTAGCTAACTGGTGTGATGTTGTTTATCTCTAATTTCAACAGCAGAGTCACATTTCCCTCCTCCCTGCCTCTTGTAAATAGGATTTTGTTTACCGCTGTCTGTTCTGTCAGTGACAAAAGCCACCTAGTGTCATTAGTTAGCAAATGTTTAATTACACTGCTAGAGCAGATGGAAATCCCGTGTCAGGAACTARGGAGCAGGTCAACAAAATGTAAAATTCTTCCCTCTTTCCTGGGCTTCGCATGCTCCATTTCCCCTTTGACAGCTCTTTAGCACCAAGTTCAACAAGTGTGCGGAGTATTTACACTTATGTGTCCAACTCTTCCCTTACGCGGGTTATATCCTTAGGCAGAGGTGCTTTATTAAATGACCTTATGGCCGAAGAGCTCAGCTGTCAAGTTAGGCTTGATTTATCACAGCAGGACCCCTCCTGATGGGTGGAGGCCCAACAGGACATTGATAGTCCCAGGCCTGTGGTAGCAGGTGGCCTGGGCTTTGCCATGCGTGGAGCTCTAGCTGTGGTTGCAGCGTTTGCACCACTGCTGCTCTCTGAAGAAAGGTGTTAACCTGCTCTTCCTCCCGTATCTGCCTATTCAAGGGCGCCTTAATGGATTTAACTCAGTTTTCTAGCCTGTTGCTACCTCTTAATCTTCGCTTTTATCTAGCAATCTGTTTACAGGTCTCAATATGCCAAAGGACTTAGCATGGGCATTATGGTGTTTCCCTTTGAAGGATTTGAGCAGGTATCTGTTTATAACAAACCCCAGCAATTAGAAGAATCTATAACAGGATAGATGCTTAAATGAACTCTTTTAATCACAATACAAACAAGCAAGCTGCAAGAATTGGTAAATTAACAGGTTTACACTTYTAAATTAACACTTGTAAAACTGTTCTCTGTAACTCTTAATTCTTGGTGCTGATTTCCATTCACAGGTAACATGTTGATTTTCATGATAAAAATAGTCTTTCATTAAAGCTGGCATATGTATTTATTCTTCAAAAAACATACAAAATATTTAAGCAAGCATAGGTAATTATATATGATAGAAATTTCCTTTGATTTTCTTTTGCAATTTTAGTGGATAGGAAAAGATTAATGATGCATTGGTTACTTTAACATGATTTATTTCTGTCATCATTTTTGTTATGCTGTGTTTGGAAATGCATTGAAATGCTCAAATACCTCCCATTTAAATGGAAATACTGCAATGTAGAGGAGGGATGTACAGGAGGAAAAAAAGTAGGCGGATCACAATATGTTTTGCACTGAAGACTGGTTTTAAATCAGTTACCTGATTTACAATTATCCCCCTTTGTGCACTGAACTCCTTGTTTTGGGAGATMTGGAGGTTCTGGTGGTACCCAGAGAGGATTTCCTGTGAGTACTTCCAGGTTTCCCATAGCTCATAACCCAGTGCTGCCCAAAACCAGCTGTAAGAGCTGCCTAAGTCTTGCCTAAGGCCAAGACTTTGGCAAATCTTTAGCACTGAGCCCTACRACAGGGCAACACGTGGGCTTCCTCAGCGCCCACCTGGCTGCTCTAAGGAGAATCTTTTGCTGGTGTACAGGATTTTTAGATTTATTAGTAGCTCATTGGAGTGAAAACTGTTCTTAATAACTGCCGTTGACCAGCTTTGGTACAAAACTGGGACAAGGACAAAAGGGCTCGGACGACC